AACGGCAGAGTGGCCGGCCGAACGGCAAACATTTTGAAATGTTCCCTAACATTACCTTCAAAAAAATATGGACCAACAACACCATTTGACCATATTCCTCCCCAAACAATCACCTGTGGTACATTGAGTTCTTGTTCAATAATCAGGTGTGGATTTGTATCACTCCAATAAACACAATTATGTCTGTTAACACGACCGTTTATCTGACATATGGCTTCATCCGTCCACAGAATTCGATCTAATAAAGTTGGATCTTCTTCAGTCGAGACCAAAATCCATTCACAAAACTCCATTCTTCGATCTGGATCATCTTCATTCAAAGCTTGCAGTAATCTTGGTTTGTATGGTTTTAAATTTAAATCTCGCATAAGACGATCCAAGCTTCTACGAGAAATACCAAGATCAAGTGATGCACGTCTTTGAGATGTTCGTGGATTCAGAAGAAAAGTTTCAGAAACACGTTGCATATTTTCTTCTGTCCTAATTGTTGCCGGTCTTCCCCTTCGTGGTGCATCTTCAACAGAACCTGTGTCATCAAACTTTCTTGCTAGTTGGTAAATTGCTTGTCGAATTGGAAATTTTGTATCGGGAAATTCAGCTTGAAAAGCTGCTTTTATTATTCGTGATGTTTTTCCGGACGTCCACCATTGTTTGAGAAGAAAAATTCTTTCTTCTTTTGTCAGGAATCTTGACATCTGCAAGAATACGAGCTCGAAGTAAAAATTACATATCAAACATATGATAGAAAATAGGAAAAAGGACAAGCAATCTTACCGAGAATACACAAAAACACGTAGAAAGATATGGTGGATGAATCTGACCAACAGTATAGAAAATGAAGAGGTTGATATGCGAGATATGAGCGTGGATTATTGTAAAGCAGAACGAGAAAAATAGGAAGGGAAAATATATAGGAATACACAACACGTGTTTTACATAAGCTCATATAGTTTATTACATTTCTTCTTGATGAAATGATCATTGCTTATCGTACACTATTTTTTTATTATCTGTAAAAAAACTAAATTTTTTTTGTAGAGATCAATAATAATACTTAATAAAGAGTTTCTCCAGGCATGTCTTTATGAAAATAAACTTTAAACATGCCTCTATCATTGATAAAAAAACCAGCTCATTTGCTTCAGCCGTAATGGAGATATTCAATTTTTTTGGGTAAAGTGAGTTTTGCGCCACCCTGTGTTATTCTAGTTCATGAAAAGATGACAAACCCGATGGATATGATTATAATTTTAAAAACTACGGTTCAATTCTTTTCTCACGGTGAACTTAAGAATGAAATACTTAAAATAGGTTATGGAAAAGTATAATTATCAGATGAATATGAATATGAAGGTAAGATTAAAGATGGAAAATTCCATGATCTTGAAAGTGTTCTTAAACTTATAGCTTAGTGAAAAGAAGGAAAAACAGAATTTGTTTATATAAATGATATTGAATAATATTATAAAAATCAATATCAAGTCTTTTTCTTATAATAGTTCGACATTCATAATTTTATTAAATAATGAAAATCAACAAAAATAAAGATAATATCTTCAATATTTTCATTGAATTATTTAAAAAAACGTCTGTCAAACCTTAATTTACTAAAATAAATAATTACTAAATCTATTCTACATCGAGAATTAAAATTATCAGCTGATCTTTTATTTAAATTAGATCATAGTTATACAAATTCCAATAAATATACTAAAACAGATAAAAAACAAACTTCAAATGATTGTATTAATAATATTTGTTAACGAGGTTTTAAAAGCTATGATCGAATAGTAGCATGATCTAAACATGAAAATAGTATTAATTGTATTTCATCGAAAATTATCGTTGATAATAGTTCAAACAATTTTTTTAAACAAAATCTCAATTATCTAATTTAAAAACAATACTTTATTTTAATCCATTTATAATTGATTTAATTGAAAAGTTAATACGTTTAAAAAATTAGAAGAAAATTAAAATAGTTCTATTCTAGTAAAACTTAATGGAGAATATGTTTTTCATAAAACATTAAATGATAATCAAATAGAATTCTAGAGAAAATTGATCGTAATGATTTTATATTGTATCATTTCATACAAGGAAGAATTTAAACAGCTATATTAAAGACTTTATATAGCATTAAAATCGATAAATTAAAAGAAAATATGATTTGAGTTTTTATGATAAGAAACAAATGATATGAAAACATATGAAGACACCAATTTCGATTATGAACAACAAATATGAATAGAAGAAAAGTTTCAATTTAAATTAAATGAAGATATTTTAGTTGATGAGAAAATTGTTAAACATGATGTTGAAGTTAAGAAATAGTTCAACTAGTTGAATATAAGCTATTCGACAAGATACTTTGACTAAAGAGATAAGAAATGAATTTTTTAGTTAAAATTTTACAAGATTCTAAAAATTAAATTCTTAACGCATTACAAACGAAAATCTATCTCATTATGTTGTGAATATAAATATTGATGCTGTATATTTCAATCGATTTTCTACTTATTTAAAATCAATGATAGCTTTTTGAAAGATCAGAAGTTCAATTATCAAAATAAAACGAAAGAGATTAAGAAAATTCAAATTCGAGTTAGAATTAATTGAAGGAAAACAAACTATTACAAAAATTATTGACTATTTTCTTGATTTTAATATAGAATTTTTTAAATTATTAAAAATTTTTCAAAGACATTTTTCGTTTAGTATGCTTCAAAAATCATGTCTTTAATAACAGATATTCTTAAACAAGAGCAAAGAGAAAGAAGTTATGCTTAGTCAGTCTGATACACTTAAAATATAAAACGTCTAATTTAGAAGTTGTTTTGCAAAAAAGATTTTTTGAAGGAACCATTGTTGATGTGAAAGTTTTATTAGAATTGCATGTAAATATTAATGAATAAGGTGATGACTCTAAAACAAAAACCGCTTTACCTAGAGCAGAGCAAATATTTTATTCCATTTCTCTCTTAGATAATATTGATAATCATAAAAAAAAGAAAATCCATATAAATTTGAAAATGAATTAAAGATTAATAATTTTGATAGTAATTTTTTCTTTGAAAAAGTCGAAGAAAATGATATTTATAAAATTCTAAAAATTAATGAAGCAAAAAGAAAATAAAATCATCCATGTTTTCATTGTATATTAAATGTAATTATAGAGAATTATTAAAAATGTAAAGATATTTAATCAAGCAAGTCACATAGAAATTATTCAATTGAGAGCAAAATAAATAATGACAATAGAAAAATCATTCAAATATTTTAATAATCAAAGAAATTATAACAGTTTAGCAAAATTAAAAGAAGATTGTTTCATTTCATTTCAAGATATAACAATCGATAATGAACCTTATGAAACATTTTGTGATAAAATTAGAAAATATTATAGAGAAATAACTCTTGATCATGCTTTAAAATTATTTTGAAGAAAAAAAACGAAATTTTTTTAGAAATTCAAAAATTAAACATGCTTTTTTGAAACTATAAAAAGTTATTTCGAAAGTATTTTGATGAGATTATCAACAACAAGAAAAAAACTCGAATTAAACACATAATTAAAGAAACGAAAAAAATTTGTTAATAAATCGAATTTTAGAAAAGAAACTACCCCAGTTATCATTACTAGACTATCAATTGTATTTGGTGACAACCTCATTGTATTCTAATTCTTAGAGTATTAATACTATTAGATATTGATGGAAAGATGAGTTCACTTCCTTCTAATCAGCCTGCTAAGATTTTAACTGGACAAGAAAAATCCTGACCCTAAGCTCTCTTAGAAGGATTTTTTTGTTTGATTGGTTATCAAATAACAGTATATATATTTTCAGACATTCTATCATGAGAAAACCTATCTTCTACAAATATTAAACAAAATCAACTTGTCAAACTCTATCTACTCATTTATTAAAAAAAAACACGAGGAAAAAAATTTGCTTTAATTTCATATGATTCAGGTCTTGCTAGAAAATTTTATTTTTACCAAACGTTTCATATACATAAACAAAAGTTAAAAAATAAACATTATTCTAGAGTTACTTATATTTAATGTAGAAGTATATATATGACAAATAGAAAATTATATTCGAAGACAAAATCTTGATAATTCGATATAGATTCTACTATGAGGAAAACATTTTTGAACTATAGAACGATATGGGTTGAATTTTTTAGGAATAGTTTGTTTATGAATATGAAAAAAAAACAAATTGCTTCAAGATTTCAATTAATTGACAAAGATCTTGGTCAAAAACATTTATATTTTTGAATTAAACAAAAATATTACTTTTTCTTAATGTATTATGTTTTTGTTTTATGTACATACTAATCGATTTTGATGTTTCTAAATTTTGTTCCCATTGTAAAGCATCAATATGTTAAAAGTATCCTGATTGAATATTTAGTCGAACTAAAAACAAATAATAATTTGAATTTATATTATGGACAATTCTCGAGGTTATAAATTTTATTGCCTTATTAAATAAGAAATAATCATCTTCTTCATGGTGAGTTCTTGTCTTTTCAAGTAAAATGCCAATGCTTTATTTATTTTTGAACACAATATTGTAACTGATTCTTGTTCTTAAAAGATATATAAAAAGAAATATGGTATAGATAGTGATAAATGAGAAAAGAAAATCATTTATGGAATGTTCCACATAGTGAAGGAAAAATAATTTATAGGATAGAACCTTATTGTAATTTTCAGAATAGTTTTTGACAAAAAAATACACTAAACTAGATGATGCGTTTTATTAAAGATCCATAAAAATGGCATGCCTTTTGGTTTGATTAAAATTGGATGTTTTCTTTTCTTCACTTTTTTACATGCATACAGGTATGGAAGACTAAAAAATCAAACTTTATGAAGATTAAATCAGAGATTATGGTCAGATATTTATTTGTTTTTGTCAATGACTTATTTCATAGCTATCGTTAATGATAATAAAACTAAAAAAGAGAAGACTTAAAAAGTATATCACTTGTTCAGTAAATAAATTGAACAATGAACGATAATTTAAGAAGGTTTATAAATTCCGTGACCTTAATTCAGATTCAGAAATAAAAGAATATACTAAAAGTCTTGTTAGCGCAGTTCATTTTGCGAATGAAATATGGAATTCGAATAAATTCCTTAGCCTCCCTTAAACTAACAGAACATACTAAAATTAACAATATCTTGTAGATGTTAGTTGCTTCTCAAGCCAATCAATCGCTACAGTATGAATCTATCTAATTTATTTCTGGATTTCGAACAGAAAAGTTTTCTTTTTTTTCGAGAGGATGATGTAGCTGAAAAATTTCGACTTGCCAATTATACTCAGCATTCTCTTTAAGAATATGTGTGAGTTCCACAAAATGAGATATGTATAAATTCTAAAATTGATGAAAATTTATTATTAGATTAGAGACGTGCAAGAGTAGCTCATTCTAAATAGTAAAAGTTATACATATCTGCATAGTTTCTTTCGAAAATGAGAAAAGATACAAGATTCTTTCCAACATAAATCGAGTTATTAGAGCCATAATGACAACTAGGAATACTGAATTCAGCACATTGAACAGAGCTCAATAAAAGATAAAAGAAAATTAGAAATCCTCTAGAATTTATTACCTTGAATAATTTGATACTTGCATTGAAATAGAATGAAACTAGGCGTCTATAAAGCTCGAGCTA